AAAGTTCTCTTAAGGACTTTGTTTCAATGTTAGTTTGCATTAAAACAAGGTAGACCAAAATGCCCCTGAACCTTTGTGAACTATCTAGACAGAAATACACGATCTAGATAGAAGCATGCTGCCTTCCCTGGGAATTCGTGATCTTACTGTCCCTATAAAATGCATCACATCCCTACTGGATGAGGCTTGCTTCTTCCAGAATACAGTGGAAACAGCTAGCTATGTTTTCGGGGGTTGTTTTGTTTTTATTTTTAATCTAGGCTGGTAGAAGTGCCTGTCTTGCACAAAATGATACAGAAATTAGAGCACTCACAGGAGATATGATCAAGTTTCAGGTATTTTCTGTTTTAAAGATCCACCTCCACAGCCCCTATCTATTACTAGATTATAGGCTTTTCTGACATGGGGGTACTTTCAAACCTTTTACTATGCTGAAAAAAAGTTTGATGCAAGTTGAAATTTGACAAGATGAAAAAGCAGCACCCAAAAATGACCATAACTCTGTAGTCTTCTGCTTATGGCACTCCACATAAACTGTCATAAACATATACAAACATAGAACAGGGACCAGAATTCAAATTCCTTTTACCAAGAATATAAAGGGGTGAATCCTTACTCAACCTAAATTTGCTGTTCTTGCCTTTGTGAGGACAGAAACTTAACTCCGTTCACTGACTAACCAAAGGCAATGTGGAATAGCGAAGTGCCTGATCCGAAACAAGAGAACAATGACAGATAGACTGTTATGGAGAAGATATGCATTGGAAAGCAGCAGATTGGGATGAGAAGCTTGTTGAAACTCAGACTGGGAAGAAAAATCAGTTGAAGGTTGGATTTCAGAGGAGTCAGTCTCCCACTACAACCGCGGGAGTGATACAGGTTGAAAAATAGGACCTGTGGCACATGTACTCAGTAACTGAAGGTCTGACCGCTAGCGAGGCTGCAGCTGTGTATCTACAGTTATATTGTAGCTATTACTACAATTTACAAGCTGTAGACAATGTGGTGGTACAGTCTTACAGTCTGACTCTGTGGCTAGCAGTCTCAGCAGGTTTGTAGTCAAGGTCAGTCACTGTGCTGAAGCCCCTGTTCCTACATCTTCACTGCTATTATTACTTGCGCTGTGATTCCTTCAAGAAGAGCATAAACAAAGTTGTAGTGTCAACCCAATCATCTGCAGAACTCTGTCCTGGCAGCCTGTGTTTCTTTGGAAATCCTCATAACTGTAACTACCCATATTCACGTGAAGTTGATTATGCTATTTCTACCTCTAAATTTTCCCATTCTACGTTTAGCTGAATTATCAGTCTCTTGACTAATTCCTCGTTTAAGATGGTCAGTAACAATGACACTACAATGCTTCCAGCTTTTTTAATCATTAGCAGGCATTGCTCAAAAATATTTTTTAAGGATCATATCTCAGTTTTCTTTCCAGTACTTACCTACAGCATAGCGAGATCTCTCCAGCTAAATGTTATACTTTGTCACATAATTCCTATTTTTGTGGCTACTCTGAGAGAAAACTATATATGAAATATCATATTCTTTTATTCTAGCTGTTGGACAGGAAGAATGTTCATTAGTATCGTATTTTTTATGATGGCCAAAAATGCCACCATTAAAGCATTAAAAATCTTAGTAGTTACTGTAGGAAAATTTTACAAGAACTGGAGATCCATGTAAGAGGGTCTAGTACTATCATACCATCAAAGCTTTGTCTCAGTTTAACAGACACATCATTGCAGAGTAAACTGTTTCCATTGAAGCCTGCAATGCTAGAATTTGAGACTGCTGTAGAAGCACTTTTGGGGTTTTAAATCTTTGAAAGTTTTGAAAACTGTTTTTACTGTGCTGATATTTAAGATTATTAGAAATTCTGGAATCTGTAGAAGATAGTTTTCAGTTACAGAGGTGGAAAAAAGGTTTTCCTTTTGTACTGACTGCCAGCCAGAAAATACAGAATCTGGAATTTCCTAAGAAAGGTTTTTTCAGATATAAAATACTCATTTGTGGAAGTCAACATTTTTCACAAAAACATGCATTGGTTTTACCAAGGATGGAATTTCTCCCCAAAAGAAAGATTAATTCCAGAAAAAAGCAATAGCCCCACATTAACCATAAATCATAACCTACAAATGGAATTCACTCTATGCTAAAATAAGAAGAGGCATTTAAATATCAGTCTCCCAAAATCCAGCTGGGTATCCATGCTCTCTGGCTTTTTTTTATTTTGGGGGTGGATGAAGCTGGTTGTTAGCTCCATTCTGATGTAGAATTGGGCAATTTCTAAAACCCTGAAATTTTTACAAGACACAAAGATTTTCCATCAAGCTCTTCCAGGACTTCACCAATTGTGAGACTTTAAAAGAGAGTTGCTTACTCTGAGAATACCTGTATTACTGCTATGTTAGGTTTTAAAGAATATCTGCAGAACAATTTACACAGAACTTTCTATAACAGCCCTTTCTAAAATGACACTTCCCAGCACAGTACAGACAGAAATGACATACTGCATGTCAGAAGTACCTCCAGCCAAGCCTTTTCCCATAATTGCAATAAAGAAATTGAGGTTGTCAAGGAGGTAACTTCTCTTTTCTTTGGCATATTGAAAACTGTTAGCTCATTAGGTCACAGATGGACGCTGTCATAATCTCAGCTAAAATTCACCTTCATTTTACCATTGTACCTCTGACTGTGTATATAAACCAAGAATCAATCTTTATGTTTGTTCTCCTTTGATATATAAACACAGTATATTTATATCACTGTAAAATCTATTTTTGACTAGAGGAGAACTGGAAAAATGAACTTCTTGTTTGCATTCAAGAGTAATTGATAGACCTTTTTCCCTATTTTGGGATCTTTAGTAGAGTATGGATTTTAAGACATGTCAAATACCCTTATCTCATTGTTTCTTCATGATGAAGTCTGCATTTGCTGATCTGTTAGTGGACTGACGTATCAGAAACACATTTTTGTACTTTTACCTAAAACATGCTATGGCAGATTATATCTATCATAATTTGTTAGACCAATTCAAGATATTGGTCTTAATCTAAAAATTGAAATAAATAATTTGCGTTGTTGATCCCTTAGATCAAGATGTTCTCTGCTGCATTCTGAAGCAAATGTGAAAGATCCAACAGATTAGCTAACAGCTTGAAAGATTGCATACGGTGATGGCAACGCTTTATAAACTGAATTCACTGGTTTGTAATTTGGAGATTTTTCACTGCCTAACTTCTTTCCTTTCTTCCATAAAAAGAAAAACAACAAAACCCCAAAACTATCTCTGTCTTCAGTTTTTATGGAGAGAAACAATCTAGAAAGGTGATCTGTCATTTCGTGAATGAACATAGAATAAATATACTCTTTTTTGTACCCATAATTAAAAATCTTGTTAGTTCTCAGAGCAAGAAAGACAAGATATTGTAAGGCTGAGTTTAAAATTTAAGTACAATGAATAAAATTAATTCAGGAGCCACTATCTTAAAACTTACATTTTAAAACTTACACTTCTCGAAACTACTCTCTCTTTATAAAAAGGAAAGAGATACCAACCAACAAAGCTAAGTTTATTCTATTTTTCAAATGCATTCCTCAATTTTATAACACACTTTACATATACCTTACATTACAAAGAAACAAGGAAAACAAAAATGTTTTTTAAAATTAGGAAATCACTCCAAAATGGCATATGTGTTCATCATAGGAAAGTTTAAGAATAATTAAATCATAGGTGATACATATTTAAATAAGAAAAGTTCCATTTAAGAAATATTTTTTGAAACAAATTCTTAAAAATGACGAATTAGTAACTACGGCATTCCTATTGTAAATCAGGATAATTCCGACAGCTCTGCACCTTGCCAAATGTCTAAAATGATAGATAGCATGAAGTAGAAAACAGCTACTGAAAGGGGAAAGGAATATAAAAGCTCCTTAGAAAAAGATAGGGCAGTGCTCATTGTTATTCAAGCACATTAGTTGCCATATCCTGTTTCCACTGACTGCAGTGGAAGCTTTAGCATTGACTTCAAACAGGTGCAAGTCCCATGAGACTAAAGGGAATAAAACGTACAGTCACGGTATAAAAGCAACAGTGTATGAAGTGTGGTGAGACAGGATATGTAATTCCAATCTGGTACACAAGAATCTGACAAAGTTTTTTAAATGCAGTGCCAAGTAAGGATGCAACTGAAAAAACAGACATTTCTAAACAGAAATTTGGCAGGCCTCCATTCAATGCTACAAGAAAAGCGCAGGAAAAATGTTACAGAAATGAGAGTGCTAAACTATAGTGGGGGGAGAGAACAAGGGAGACCCAGAAGCAGCAATAAGCATCATCCTGTTCTGTAGCAATACAATATCACTTGTTCAGGACACAGCTGTTGGCATGCCTTGGTGGATACTGCAGACTGGTCTGCTCTGAGAATTGTTGGGACTTAGACCCAAGTATATTACCCATTTTCATTTATTATCCTCTGTATTATCACGAGCATTTGAAAATGTTTGGGGACTTTTCTTTTTTAACTTACATAATCTTCAAAGAGAAGTCTTAGGCTATATTCTTACATCAGTTGAGTTATGCATGATGTCCTCAATTAATTCTATAAAGAAAGTAGCTGAGATGTCATTATATTAATTAGAAGCTGGTCAAAAATAGAGTACTTATCCCAAAGGAAACTATGTGACTTCAAAATTTCCTTCCAGACTGAATAAGAAGAGAAAGTTATGCAACATAAAAACTATCTGTCTAAAATGGGGGTAATAAACATCGAACAGTCTCAATATTAAACTCATCTGGATGAGTATTACAGCAGGATGACCGAACCTTGACATTTAATTTTAAAACCAGATTTTGAGGTTAAAATGAAGACTAAAGGTAACAATTATGAAGGGAATAAGGCAAGGCTAGAAATTACTGCAAGAGGTAAAACAGAAGAGATTAAGCAGCTCTCCTACAGTTAATGTTTTATGACGAAAAGGTAAACAGATACCTGTGCAAGCATGGGAAATCCAAGGTTCCTGCATCCATTACAAGGTGTCAATGCCTCCCATAAACCTGAAGGACCACAAGTATTTTCACCTGCATCATCTTCTTCTTCCTCTCTTGGTGATAAACATGTTGAAGAAGGCCTCTGTGCATAAAGAAATGGTACTTTCAAATTGAACACAGTGATATATTGTAACGAAACATTTTATTTAATGAAAAGCACTTAAAAGATTCCCATCTATAAATTCCAAAAGATAAACTGCTATTTTAATACAAAGTAACTACTCAACTGTCAATCTGCTGTATGAAAATCACACTTTCTAAGGAAGCTGCATATTGATGTATCTGCAATTATACATCACACTTTCTAAGGAAGCTGCATATTGACCTATCTGCAATTATATTTTAAATATGAGTGAACATAATATCATACATTAAAAATATGTATTTATTTTCTTCATTATCAAGTAATTGGCAATTTCTACTTCATTTTACTTTAAAATTTGCTTTAACATCATTAAGCTTAGGATATCCCACAGAGAATAAAAACTAACATTTATATATAAAAAAAAAAATACTATCCCCAAGCAGGCATTAACATAAGCTAAGGGGATCTTGCTTCAATAGTCATCTGTTGTGTTCAGAAAAGTACAGCTGTATTACATTTGCCTGGATCAGTCCAAGATTTTTGCAGAAAAATGATAAATTCAATCAAAACACGAGGTTTCAATTTTTATTTTATATTTACCAATAATAAACCTGTTAGCTTATTTTGTAGGCAAAAATTTTATTTAGAAGTGACCTGTCTTATTTTGTTTCATCAGCTAGAAAGGATGAAAGGTATGGGAAAAAGTCATTCAGTTGTGAGCATTAAGGCTTCCATATTGGTCTCAGTGAAAAGGGAATAATGCTGATTTTTGTTTAAACCAGCATCCTAATTTTTTGACAGCCAGGAACAGGAAGAGTGGACAGTTCCCATTTATTTATGTTATTTTGCTACACAGGATAGTCCACCCCAACTGAATGAATTGCAGTGGCAACTTTCACTGATTTCAGGAGGGTGAAAGTTAAGCCAGCAATGAATGATTTTTAAAATCTCATGTTAAAAAGAATTATGACAACAAAAAAAATTTAAGTTTTATTCACATCTTAATTCTTTGTCCATATTTAAATTGGAATATGTAACAGCTGTTCTAGCCTGCCTGACATTTGTTTGTGCAGCCTACCTGATATTCAGATACTAAATGCTGTCTTTAGGGATGCTTGTTTATCTTAATCTTTCAGAAGTGGCTGGATTTTTGCCTGACCAACATAATGCTGTTTGAGACAATGGCTGACCACATCTATTAATCTGGTGGTAACATTAGCTCTAAAGCGCTGCTATGAGGCCCATATAAAAATTAAAAAAACCCCAACACTTAACTGCAAATTATTTTAGCCAATACAATAAAGAAATGTGTGGAGTCTGCTGCAAGAAAAGGAATGCAGAGATGAAGGAAAAGTAGGGGCAGGGGAGGAAAGTGGAGAAACAGCAACAGTTCTGAAGATGAACACAAGCTGATGGAAACTGTAAGAGAAGCAAAGGCACCACACAGACAGGTACTAACTCAAATTGTGTAACATCTGAGGATCATTTAACCTTTGACTCTTGTGCTAACTTCTTACACACAGATGTGGTTGGTATACCATTAATTTAAGCAGAAAAAAAATATTTCTAAATTGTATTTCAGCTCACTCACCAAAGATGAGAAACGTGATATGTACATTGCTACTAGTCTGATTCCCCTCAGTTAGAAAATGGTTGTTCCCTTGTTGCAGACTTCATTAATCTAGCCATACCTTCTAAAGTTAGGTGGATTTATTTACTTTTTATTTTAAAAGTCAATTTCTAAAACATTCTTAGCATGATATTTCATGAGGTTATTTTGACAGTTAAGTGGTACCACAGAATGTGTTGCCATAGCAACCAATATTCTTACACAGCTTATTAAAAGGATTGGGTTAACTCTGCAGAGTGTGGGTCGTGAAGGACTATTATTGCTATGCATTTGCATAGACAAAGGAAGCAGACTACAGGTCTTTCCCTTCTATTTATGATGCCATCTTCCATGGTGGTTGCCCTACGTTTATATTTTAAATCTCAGAATTGTTGTACCAGAGAATAAGGTGTTTCTTGCCCCCTGGAGCACAAAGCAAAGAACTGCAGCAGTGCTAGGTACAAGAGAGCAGGTAACACACATTAGCTGTGACCTTACAAGCCAATGTAAGTGAATGAAGACAAAAGTCACCAAAAAAAGTATAGTCAATGCACCTTCTAAAGGTAAAAAATATACACACATAATATCAAAGAGAATTTTTCAACACAACTAAAGGAAGATCAATAATGAAATTCAATGTATTTGAATCATTCAAGGGAGAACATATGAGTATTTAGCCATTACAGGAACAGAGTAGAAAAAAAATCATAGCAAAAATTATTGAACAATAGAAAAAATACACAAGCAGAATGAAAGAGTTGTAGTATTTCCATTAGATTTATTTTATATAACTAGCCTAAGATAGAGTGGGCATCACACAAATTTAAATTAATGTTGTCCATATGAATGAGAAGAAGTGGGGAATATTATATAGGCAGACCTCCTGATCGTTCAAAAAAGGACCAGTCGATGTCAGAGTTCATTAGACACACTATTGGAATAAATTGACTAGTACTCTTATACAACTAGACAATCCAGGTATGAATTACATGATACAGGCTAATTTACAGACTACTGCAGAGTAGGGTTGGCTCTTTTTATACTTAATGACTGATTTCTGTCTTCTTGCCCAGATTTCTGCTACTGATAAGGCACTAAAAAGGAACCATTAGGAGAAACGTATGTGAAGGGTCAAGAAACAGTTATTGCTATCACCTTTCTCACTCATCCCTGCTGCCAGAAGCCCAGTTCTTCCCAGACAACAGGTGCAAAGGGATAAGTGGGAGCTGCTGCAGGGAGAAAGCTGTATTTGCAAAGAGGAGCAAAGGAGTTAATAGTTGCATGAGAGAAAGGGGAGTCAGAAGTCCCCCAAATGGGGTAGACTGGGTTTGCATACTCTGGGAAGAGAGATGCAGCTGGAGGAGACAGGTGAGATACAGAAAAATCTACAATCAATCCACAGACTTCAGACTGTCACACAAGCCCATAAAACTCCCAGCCCAGACCACCCAGTTTCCTGCTATTCTCTCTCGGCCTTCATTCCTTTCCCAGAACTCCCTCATTTTTCTGTTCTGTTGTATAATTTAATTTTGCCTCCTCAGAGATCCTTTGGACGTGAAAATCTAATTCTGTGTGTGCTGCTGGGAAGCCTTGAAATAGCCCTGTGGGGAGAATTTTAGTGAAACTGAAGTTATTTATGCCCACTTCTCAGAAAAAAAGAAATAAATAGAGAGGAAGAGATTTCTGTCAGCTAAAGAAAAATAGACACAATTGAGAACCTTTTATTCATGCCTGTTTTTACTGCAAAAAGAAAAAGTAAATGTAGTTAGAAAATACCACCTAGTATCATAGTTGCTCAATTAATTGAATCTGACATTATGAAATGGTGAAGACAACATAAACTGTAATATTAAGCTTCTAGCTTCTGCCTAAGCTAGAAGAGACATGAGTATAAGCATCATATATCCTCAAACAAAACAGACAGGAAAGCTTAAAAGATATTAGATACAATATATAAAATGGAAAAATTGGTAGGGAAACCACAAGAGTGATACAGAATAAAGGATTTAATAAAAGTTCTGTTTTTTACCGGAACACTGAATTAAGTATTAAAAATTGCTTATAGCAGTAAGAGACTAAAAATATTATTTCTCTATACATAAAAAAGAGAATAATAATATAGCAGTAAGGGAGTAGTAAGATGTAGCATAAGGACATTGGACCATTACAATTAGTGGCCAGTTTTCCTCAAACTCTTCTGGGCCTGACACATCACCTCTGATTTTCATATCTGATGAGCATTTAGATTATGCCTTTGAAAATTTAGATATGGAAGTCACAGTCTTCATGTCTCCATCTACACAAAAGGCAAAATTTGCCCAGTAGGTTACGTTAGACTGAAGGATACTCAGGCTATTTGTTCTTCCGGTATATGTATGTACATCAGATTGGCTATCACAATAACTGGCACCTCTTTTCTGATCTAAGAGAACAAGACAATATTTAGCAACAGACAGAATGATGAGTACAGACAAAAAAGAGTGCAGAAAGTCTGTTCCACTCTTAAAAGTCAACAGGAAAAGAAAAAGAGAGCACCTTTAATTGTAACTATTACTTAAAGCGACGAAGTTTACAGCTCAAGATTTACACCATATATAAAACATACATAAAGTTTTGGCCTTCCTTTTTACAGATGTCAACAATTTCCTGACTACCATATGACCTCATTATCTAGACAAGTTTTCTCTGTGAATACAGTAAGTCATACAAAGCCTCTTATTTCCTTTTATTCCCTCTTTTTCTCAGTTTTTAATGATAAAGCGACGAAGTTTACAGCTCAAGATTTACACCATATATAAAACATACATAAAGTTTTGGCCTTCCTTTTTACAGATGTCAACAATTTCCTGACTACCATATGACCTCATTATCTAGACAAGTTTTCTCTGTGAATACAGTAAGTCATACAAAGCCTCTTATTTCCTTTTATTCCCTCTTTTTCTCAGTTTTTAATGAAAACTGGTTTGCTTTCTGCCTTTACATTTGTAAGCAGCTAGGCAAAATGTGATTTAATTTCCTCCTTTCAGGATACAGAGAATTTTCTGTAGTAGTCCAGTGAAATCTAAAACCAAACATAAAAATCTTTCTTTACTTCTTGTATCTCTGTTTTTGCATAATTATAATCTATTTGCAGAAGTATCGCAAATACCCTTTCAGACAGTATCCACTACAGCAAGATAGCACCAGCAAAACTGTAAAAGATATAAAATAATAGGACCTTTACTGTTTGCTATTGCATCAGAGTTCTGGACACTAATGTTAACTATTCATTTATCTTGCAGCATATCACATGTTAAGAAAATAAGCTTTTTGAAATGGAGCAGCAAAGACAAAATCCAGAAGGCAATCTCCTTTTGTTTATGGAAGGTAGAAAGCAACCAGACATTTG